GCGCAGCGCCGCTAGGTCAGCTTCGTTAGCAGTACGCATCGCCGCTAGGTCAGTTTCGTGCTTGGCACGCATGTTTTGCAGATCGGCAGTATGTTGCTTCCGCATCTACTTGACCTGTTCGATCAGTCTCCTCAATGCTGCTTCGTTGTCCATGTTAGTTGTGTGATCTAGGTCGTCTGTTGCGCGTCTGCTATGGCTTCTGGTGAAAACCATAAGCGTGGCCGATAAGAGCTGTCTTGATCAATCCCACGGTGGGCGCCAAATGTTCTTACCAGAGATCGGTCGTGGGGGACGATCTACTGGGTAAGATCAGCGAGCCTCCTTCACTGGTACGCTTGTTGCTCCAAGATGGGGGTGGTACCTGCAAAAGAGACTCCGATGCTAAAGTTAGTGTTTGTGGGAGTATGAGTCTCGTATAAGTAATGCACGTACCTTTGTGTGGATTAGGGTTTTGTTGGGCCTTGGGCCTGAGATTAGTTATGACCTATTTAGGTAGCGGACCTCGTCTTAGCCGAGGTTGCGCAGCGCGTGTCCGAAGTCATCCTGCGCTGTGATGCCGAGCTGGAGCTCGGTTTCGCAGTACAGATAGTACACAACATATGTAGTTGATCTAGTTTAAAATTTAGAAATTGTCTAATTCTAATATTTTTTTTTATATAAAATTAACTTACAAATTAAAAACATAATATAATATTATTGAAATATCTTTACATAACTTTCATAACTTTATACGGATTTATGTTGAGGTCCAATGGTTTTTCTTATGTTTTAAGTTTATTAGATTTTGTATTGAGTATCAAGTGATGAAATGTTCCATTGGATTCAATAAAAAAATTCTGCATCCGATAGTTAGGAGTTCCAAATAATTATGACTTCTTGAACAGGAACTCAAGTAACTATTGTAGAAAAAATTAAACATACATATGGTGGAACTATTGCCCTGGGTCGACCTCTTAGTTGTAGTGAGACTTGCATTCTGGTAACCCTTGCAGGTGTATGTTCAATTCATATTATAATACATAATAGCATACTGATATTTGTTTTTTGGACATCAATACTCTTAGTGTCCATTTTTCAAGTGTAATTTAGTATGTAAATTTAAGGATTTATTATTATTATTATTATTATTATTATTATTATTATTATTATTATTATTTTGTGTGGCTTAAAGAGTCATTAATAGCCAAAAATACTAGTTAATAATAGATTGAGAATGCATTTTATAATGACTTAAAATTGCAAAAAAAAAAAAGTTAATTTAAGACAAATTGATATGACATATTCTAGTGATTTATATTCGCCAATAAATACTAAATTGAAATGGATTGACAATATGTTTTGTGGTTTCAAACCACCAATATATGTTACAACATTCCTAACAACTATACCAATGATATGCTAAATTCTGTAAAAAAAAATGTGAGAATTATATTAAACACAAAAAATGTAATTTATAATAATTTTTAGGTTAAAACCCTTATTTGTTCCCTTATAATATTTTTTATTTCAATTTAATCCCACTTTAATTTTTTGTTTCAATTTAGTCCCCAATAATTTAAATTATTGCAATTTGGGACTTTCGTCCAAATGATTTAAACGGAGTTAACTGTGGGCCACGTGGATGCCAGGTGGATGCCACGTAGATGATGCCAAATTTCTTGAATACACCTGGAACCAGAATAGCCTGTTCTGAAACCAGAATGGCCTGTTCTGCTGGTTGCACTGTTGGTGTGTTAATTTTGTACCTGGAACGGGCCGTTCCAGGTGCAAAATTAACACACCAATAGTGTAACCAGAACGGGCCGTTCTGGTTTCAGAGCGGGCCGTTCTGGTTCCAGAATGGTCAATAATTATAGTTCACAGTTGTAAATCATGCACGGAAAAAGATCCAAGGTACAAAGCATTTCAAACACTAGATTTGGTAATATTGTCAATGGGGATTGATAACTTCAATTGTTTAACATTTGGGCTATACAATATATCATTAAGGACGATGCAGTGTTTAATATTGTCAATGGTTATTTATTTATTTATTTATTTATTTGGCCTAATGTCTTTTTATGTCTAATCAAGCTCCTGACCTCTTATAAATCTCTCCTCTCGTTCTCTTGGTTGGAAAAATATTGATATGGGAGTATGTTGTCCATTAATATAGATGGAGCTTATAACACTTATGCCTTAGTGTGAATGTTTACATGAGTTCATATTTAATTATCTCGTTTATAGTTATTTTTTAAAAAAATGAGTATCACTTGATAATATTAAAAATTAAAATGAGATTTATTCATTAATTTTAAAATTATTAATAATATTTAAACCAAACACATTTTTATGTTTTTATTTTCAAAAATTTAGAAAATGAAAAATCAAATTAAACATACTTTCTAAATTTTAAAATAAAATTATTTTTAAAATTATAAATGAAAACAAAAAGAAAAACTAAAAAATGTTTTATGAAACCAAACAGTTCCATAATATATTTTTTCAAACTACGAAAACTTTCATTTGTGTAAATTACTGCCATATCCTGGACAGAAAAAGTGTATTTCTTTTTCATTTTCTTTAATTGGAATGGAATAAACGATGGATTGAAAAGAATAAATGAAGCAATCTTTGAAATATTATATCGTTGTTTAATCATTGCTGAAAGAAGCATTTCAATATCCCCATCCTTGTTACACTGATATGAATTGTTTAACTACCACTTTCCAGTAATCTTCAAGCCTAAACTTAACCTAACATTAAACAATCATTGCACTTCCCATTTTCTCCTAACAGCAATTAAAAATTAAATGTTTATTACACATGCCATAAGTATATGTGTTTATGTAGATCCTCGTTTATTACCGTACATATATACTACATACTTATCCAACTTTTTTTTTTAAGTAAAAATGGGACTGAATTGATAATAAAAAAAATTAAAAATTTGAATCCTTGCTATTATAATTTTTCACATGTCTCTCCGTTGTTAATATGGAAGATTACATTAAAAAGATTAGTGCGGGATTGATTACTCATAAAGTAAAGCACTTATGTGTTTATTTGGCAGAAAAAATAAGAAGAGCCACGAGTGTTGAGGTGATAATCAACTTCGTCAATAATCTATAATTATAACTCATTTATAATCTGATATATATCTATAATAATTATAATATACGAGATAGACATTTGTTGTATTGTATGTATATTATTTATATTTAATTTTACTCATTAACTATTTTTTATATAGGTGTAAAAAATAAAATTACTCTTTCATAAATTGTTATTTTTATTTTTATTTTTTATGTAAATTTCATATCACAATCAACCCATCACAAAAATATTGTAATTATTCAATTGTACAGTAAATTAACTTTCTTACAAATGAGATTATTTCATGATTTTTTAGGCACGCACTTAATATTTTTTTATTTTAAAAAACAGTAGTTAACTATCTTAAATGAGGCTGTTTTTATAAACAGACATCATAAAAGTTCATTTTTTTCCTAATTAACTCTTAAACTTCGTCCTATATATTTAGAATTAGACACCATAATTTTTTTTAATTAATTCTTATATATATATATATATATATCTATATATATATATATATATATATTTACAAATAGACACTCTTAATTTTAATTGATATTGACATTGACAATTTATTATATTTTCAAAAAACATTACTATCAATTTAGAGTTAAATTATTTATCTTAAATATCAATCATTTATTAATTTTTTTCTTCTTTTTTTACAATTATTTTTTAAATAAAATAAAAAATGAGTTTATAAAGAAATTAAAAAGAAGAAAATTATAAAATAAAAAAAAAGTATTTATTTAATTTTTATAATTCTAAATTATATTATATTTTAATATATTGGAATAAAACTCATATATGTAAAAATAATAATAATAATAATAAATAAGTATGATTTAAAATATATAAATGATTGAAACCAGAACGAGACGTTTTGAAACTAGAACGGTCCGTTCTGATTCACTCGTTGTGTGTTA